AGACCTGCTGTATCCGGAGTTCTGTGATCCCAAAATTACTTCCAAAATTGCACATCATCCTATTATTTAAACATTCATTAACCTTACTTGGACTAACGGTTGGTGGAATTAGTCAGGGATTTAGGGAAGCAATCTTTCGCTTCAAGGGCCTTTGACAACACCAAGGCAGAACAGAAACATAACAGATGTAGCATTTTCCCAGCATGGAAATGCAAAAGCAGAACGGACTGGGAAGGGGAAGAAGCCTTCGTATCCCACATCTGGGCTTCTTACAGAATCATAGAATCACAGAGTTGGAAGGGGCCATAAAGGACATCTAGTCCAACCCGCTGCTCAATGTAGGATCAGCCTAGAACACAGGGTGTCAAACATAAGGCCCGAGGGGCGGAGCTGGCCCATTCAAGGCTCTTATGCGGCCCGGGAGAAACTAGTGCAAGGGAGGGAACAGGAGACTGCTTAGGGGGAAGTGGGCAGAGCCAGTCCAACTGTTGCTTCAGCATGGCAGAACAACCTCACCTGCAGCGGTCAAGAATGTCTGCCCAGTACTTATTGCTGGCTCTCTTGAAAGAGTTCTTGAAGTACACGGACTCTAATCTGGGAGAACCGGGTTTGATTCCCCACTCCTCCACTTGCAGCTGCTGGGTGACCTTGGGCAAGCCATAGTTCTGTCAGAGCTGTTTTTATTGATTGATTTTATTCGACTTTTATCCCAACCTCCCCGCATGGCAGGCTCAGGGCGGGTTACATCAGAGTTAATAAAATACAATATATAAAATACAATGGAATTGGTAAAAATACAATTCAAACACTAATAAATTACATCAGATTTAATAAAACACAATATATAAAATACAATGGAATGGGTAAAAATACAATCAAAACACTAATAAATTACAACTATAGCCTTCAGCTGGTGCAGTTGCCATTAGAATTAAGTCTCACAGATGCCCAGGGAAACGCTGGTTGCCACTTTGGGGTCAGGAAGCAATTTTTCTCCAGGCCAGTTTGGCCGGGGATCCTGGAGGTTTTTTTCATCTTCTGGGCATGGAACAGCAGTCACTGCAGGTGTGGAGGGGGAGGTATTTGTGAATTTCCTGCATTGTGCAGGTGGTTGGACTAGATGACCCCTGGAGGTCCCTTCCGACTCTATGATTCTATTTCTCTCTCCTGCACGCTTACCACCTACACTGTTCAGGTCCTATATTTGCAAAGTGCATAGACATTTAGGAAGGGTAGTAGAAACTCTCCACTCTGTGCATGCCCTGCCAAATAAAAACAGAACTGAGAGCCGTATACTAGACTTTTGCAAAGCCGGCTGTTGTGCTTTGCTGCAGAAAAACCTACCCAGTGTCTGGCGACACCTAAAAATGCAAAAAAAAATAATTATTATTGTAACACAAACCTTCCTGACCATCAGACAGTGTGAGCTTTGTCTTTTGTATAAAAGTGCCTCAGTAATAAATTTTATGGTGGTCTTTTCCAGCCTCTGCAAAATACATGTCAAGAAGAACCAGCCAGACGAAAGCATAGATCTCGCAGAGGGCAAATGAAGTGGTTGATCAGAATTCGAGCGGTACCAATTTAGGCTGCTTTGTGATCAAATGCTTCTTCATAATAAAAACACTGCTCGCTTCTTCAGAAAGCTCACTTCTCACGAAATCTCTACCACATATTTTGTTAGTGTTTAAAGTGACACTGGACTCTTGCTCTTTTCTGCTGCTACCGATAGACTAACATTGCTACCCACCTTGAAGTGCACAGAACAAAGTTTGAGTCCAGTGGCACCTTTAAGGCCAACAAAATTTAATTCTGGCTGCATTAATTTAATTCGTGCATGCACACGAAAGCTTATACCCAGAATTAAACTTTGTTGGTCTTAAAAGTGCCACTGGACTCAAATTTTATTTGTATGCTAATTTGCTGCTATTCACAGGTCTTCCCGACTGCTTTAATCCAATCTTAGCTATAGGTAAAGTAAAGGTAAAGGTTCCCTTGCTCGAAAGCCAGTCGAGTCCGACTCTAGGGTTGCGGTACTCGTCTCCGTTTCCAAGCCGAAGAGCCAGCGCTGTCCGAAGACGTTTCCGTGGTCATGTGGCCGGCATGACTAAACACCAAGGCGCACGGAACACTGTGACCTTCCCACCGAAGTGGTACCTATTTATCTACTTGCAATTTCTTGCTTTCGAACTGCTAGGTTGGCAGGAGCTGGAACTAGAAACGGGAGCTCACTCCGTCATGCGGCACACTCCGGTCTCGAACTGCTGAACTACTGACCTTCCACAGCCTGCAGTTCAGCATCTTAACCACTTGAGCCACCACAGCTCCTAATCTTAGCTATACTTATTGCTAAATTACTTATGCGTCTTGACTCTAGCTAGTCCTTCCCGGAAACTAAACTCCCTCCCCCCTATATGTATGGTTTGAGGAAATGTGTTTCAATGCATCTGAAGAAGTGCGCATGCACACCAAAGCTTATACCCAGAATTAAACACTGCTGGTCTTAAAAGGTGCCACTGGATACAAACAGGTATATGAAGAAGTGTGCATGTACAGGAAAGGTTATACCCAGAATAAAACTTTTTTGGTCTCAAAGGTGCCACTGCTGGACTCAAACTTTATTTGTATGCTAATTTGCTGCTATCCACAGGTCTTCCCGACTGCTTTAATCCAATCTTAGCCATACTTATCGCCAGGGCTTCTTTTGTAGAAAAAGCCCAGCAGGAACTCATTAGCATAATAGGCGACACCCAACAGAAGAAATTAATTAGTTTATTAGGACACACCCCTGACAGCACAGCTCATTAGCATATTAGGCCACACACACCCCATGTTCGCAGAAGTGTGGTCATCCGGACACACCCACCTTTTGCTTCTTATTCTGTTTACTTTGTTTGTTGTCCAAACCCAGGGCTTTTTTATAGCAGGAACTCCTTTGCATGTTAGGCCACACACCCCTACTGTAGCCAGCCCTAATGAGTTTCTGCTGTTGGGTGTGGCCTGTTATGCTAATGTTTTCCTGCTGGGCGTGGCCAACTCCGGAGCAGCCGGAACTCCGTTCCTGTGCGTTGCCATATGTCCGTCATACATTTCTGATTGGGCCTGGATCTGTGGGCTGGATTTTCTCAAGCGAAAATGTGCCTCCTTCAGTTAGACAATGGGCCTTCTTCAGGGGCAGATTAACCATTAAACAGACTAAGCACGTGCTTAGGGCGCCAGGGCCAAAGGGGGCACCACAAACTTGGGAAAAGGGTGAAAAGGGGAAAAAAAAAACAAATGAAGATTTGTAAAAAAAAAAAAAATTGATAAAACTAGTGCAAATTGATCTAGGTGCACCCTAGGGTTATTTTCTGGTTTTTGTTGGTGAGGTGCAGTGTCATAGGCTATGACACCAAGATTGGGGGCACCAAGATTGGCTTAGGGCACCAGTGAGCCTTAATCTGCCCCTGGCCTCCTTCTTCTCAGGCTATGAAATACTCTAAAAGTATCTAATGTAGCAGATATGGGTACACAGTGGTGTGTGTTCTTCCTCTAACTAGGCTAAATGACATCAGGAATATGCGCAGTTATAGTTGGCCAGAACAAGCAAGGCCACAGCTGCCTGTCAGTTTTTAGGGTTTGTTCTTCCCAGCATGCATTTCAACAATGAACCAAACTGACTATCTGAATATATGTTCATGATTGATTTCAGTTACTGTGATTAGAATCACCAATGGCCCGTAACATGATTAGAATCACCAATGGCACTTAACATATGCACCATGGAAGTGCTAAGTGCACCTACTAAGTTAAACCTGTTAGTCAGTGGCAGAGTACAAAGTGTTTCCTAAACTATGCCTACAACACTGTGAATCAATGCATAAATAAGCCAAAATCCCTGCAGGTAGAAAACTAGCTCTCTCCCCCCCCCCCCAGACATTCTAGATGTCTACGTGCAAGATTTATTTTTCTTATTTGGTACAGACCAGTGTTCCCTCTAAGCTGAGTTAGTGTGAGCTAGCTCACAGTTTTTTAGCCTCCAGCTCACATATTTTTATCCTAGCTCAGGAAGGATGTCTTCAGAGCAAGCGAATTTATGCAATAGCCCAATTGCTCGCTCACAACTTTAATGCCAGTAGCTCACAAAGTAGAATTTTTGCTCACAAGACTCCATAGCTTAGAGGGAACACTGCCTGTGAGGTGGGTGGGGCTGAGAGAGCTCTTTCAAGGACTGCTCGTGAGGGAACAGCTCTCTGAGAGAACTTGTGACTGACCCAAGGTCACACCAGCAGCTGCACGTGGCGGTGTGGGGAATCAAACCCGGTTCTCCCAGATTAGAGTCCGCGCTCCTAACCATGACACCAAACTGGCTCTCAGATACCCACCTAAACCACTGCAAACACTGTGATGCCCTCCTTAGAGGGAACAATGTTCCACAGTTTAGAGGGAACATTGGTACAGACTCAGGGGAACGTTCCGTGGACTTATCGCCCCCCCCCCCCGCATATTATGACTTGGTACGTCTCAAACTGTCAGCCGAGCATAACGGACGGGCGTGGGGAACGCGCGCACCCGCCAGCACCTGGACCAATCGGGCCGTCCCTTTCCCCGCCTCCTCCCGCCTCCCCTTCCAACTGTCACCGCCTCGCGCGCCCTTGGCCCCGCCCTCCTCCCTCAGCCGGCCAATTCTGGACAACTGTTGTCCAAAAAAAACAAATCGTTGGCAAAAAAAACAGCAACACCTGTCTTTCATCGACATTTTAAAAATCGCTCGCAGAAATTATTTTCTCGAACGCGACTAAATTTGTGACTGGTTTACGGAGCGGGGTGGGGCGAAGGCCTCAGTTCTCCCCGCCCTTCCCAGCCGGGCGGCCTGTGATTGGCTGGCGAGTCCGTTAAGAGGGGCGACTGGCGGCCCGCGGCTTCTTTCGAGCGTGGCTGCGCGGGGGTCGGGCGTGTCGGTGAGTGGCAGGCCGGTAGGGGGCGGGGTCCGCTTCGCCGGCGTCAGACTGACGCAGGGGCGACGCGCTCGTCCTTTCCTCGGAGGAGCCGGGACGGGCTGCTGGGTGCCGGGCCGCGACCGGGCCGCCGCCGTCCTGAGAAGGTGGTCGGAGGGGTGGGGTGGGGTGTGGAATCCTCGGTCCGGGGAGAAGGCCGCCGGTGCGCATGCGCGGGTGCAAAGAAAGAAGGGGTGCCGCTTTGCACGGGTGTTATGTCGCGTCTCGTGTGAAAGGGAAGGAGGGCGGCCCGGGCACACGCTGCCCTTTGTGCAAAGCGGCCCTAGCGCCCCCCTCTCCCGTTTTTGCACCTTTATTGCTTTTGCACATTTATTGCTTTTGCACCTTTATTGCTTTTGCACCTTCCTTGCTTTTGCACGGGTGCCAGCCCGCCGCGTTCCCACGTGCGTGGGCGCCCGGGGCTCGTCTCTCTCCTCCTCCAGCCCCTCTTTGCAGGCCCTGGCGGAGGCACAAAGGGAACCCCGCATTGCGGCGGCCTGGGCTTGCGTGCGGCTTCCACGTGGTGGGGCGGAAGGGAGAAGGGATATGTTGCATGGGGTGGGGAGGAGAGGCTGCCCGGGATCCCGACCTGCGGGGTGTGTTTTTTTTCTTCATGGGGGGGGGATCTTTGCAAGACTGGACGGGAGGCGGGGGCGCATTAGACCCCCCCCCCCGGCAATGCTCCCTCTAAGCTGTGGCGTCCTGTGAGCAAAAGTCCTTCTTTGTGAGCTACTGGCAGTAAAGTCGAGAGCCAGCGATATGGTTACTGCACGAATTAGTTGCTCTGGAGCCCGAGCTAAGACAAAAATGCATGAGCCGGAGGCTAAAACAACTGGGACCTAGCTCACACTTACTCACCTTAAAGGGGACACTGGTCATCACCATTGCTCCTTCTAAGCTGTGGAGTCTTGTGAGCAAAACTCCTACTCTGTGAGCTACTGGCATGAAAGCTGTGAGCGAGCGGCTTGGCTACTGCATCAATTAGTTTGCTCTGGAGCCCTCCTTCCTTAGCTGAGACAAAAATGGGTGAGCCGGAGGCCAAAAAACTGTGAGCCGGCTCACACTAACTCAGCTTAGAGGGAGCATTGCCCCTGGGGGGTGCGGAGTTCGAATTCCCCGCTTCTGACCTTGAGCCAGTTTTGCACCTCTGCCCCATAGCCTCCAAGTGAGGATGAAAGGGTGCCAGATAAGTATTTGCAGCGCCCCATAACATCTGGGGTCCGTGAGAGGAGGGGGTGGTGGCTTATGCTGCCTTGCAAAGACATTCGAAGGCTTGGCCATGTCGGGCGAATGAATGACCTTTTCCCGGGACAGGCAGGGTCTGTGGCCCAGGCAGGCCTTTCTGCACTGAGTCAATGTCACCGTGCACGTGGCTCTTAGGGCGCGTGGAGGGGTGGGGGCATTAGGGTGCTGTGGGGGGGGGGGCTATGAGGATTGCTGGGTTTATGTGCTTGCCCCTGGGAAGGACACTGCTGCTCCAGGAGACGGGGAAATGGGGCATGGGGCTCGGTTTGCAGCCATAAACGAATTCAAGGTGAATTAATGCGGAGGTGGGGACGAGGGCGGGCCTCGCCGCACAGTGGCCGGTTGTGTAATTGGACGGCCCTGCGGTCTGGTGCCTACGTGCAGCTGGGGAACCGAGCCATGGGTGGTTGCAATTTCCTTGTGCTGTAGATTTAGGGAGAAGCTGCACGGCAGGTCGATTTTCTTGCCTGGGGGCTGGCACTTCCGCCTCTCAGCGTGCCTGGTACCGTGTTCCTCTGCTTTGAATCTCCCGCTCCGCTTTCCCTTCCCCGGCACTGTTAATCAGCCATTGCTGCAGCAGGTGCATGTCTTAAAACACGTGTGTTAACGTGCTACCGCGCTGCCTGCAAGAGTGGTTCTCGTTTCTCCCTTGTGGTGGGGCAGGTGCCGCTGAATGACATAAACACTTTCGCCTTTCTCTTCTGCTGTGCTTTGTGCTGGGGAAGTGTGTTTTTCGCCGGCTTTCTAACAGTGGTTGATAGCTTTGCTCTCACATCTGTCTGGAGCCTAAAGACTCCACTGTTTTGCAAAGAAAAAGAAAAGAACTGTGTTAAAAGCACTGATCAGCTCTGAGCAGGTTTTGCTGGCTTTGAGCTGCACCATTTCACTAGCATTTGGGTGCTTTCCCTAATAGTGACAACAACGCTGAAAAGCCATGTGTGCGCAGTAAAGAACAGAAGAGAAGCCATGTTGATTCAGGCCAATGGCCCATGCAGTTAAACACTGTCAGTGGTCAAAACCCAGGTGTCATCAGGTATAGCCACAAGGTATAGATAGGGACTCTGGGGCAAGTGATGCTCTGTCATCTTGGTGCTTGGGGGGGGGGTCAACAGTGGGAGGGCTTCTAATGTCCTGGCCCCACTGGTGGACCTCCTGATGGCACTGGTATTTCTGGCCACTGTGGGATACAGAGTGTTGGACTGGATGGGCCTTTGGCCTGATCCAACATTGTCATCTCTTATGTTCTTATGTTCTTAGGTCCAGCAGTGGGGCCAGAACCCCGAAAACCCTCCCACTGTGCCCCCCCACCCAAGCACCAAGAATACAGAGCTTCAGTGCCCCAGACCGATCGTTCCCTCTAGACCAGGGGTGGCCAAACTTGCTTAATGCCAGAGCCGCATTGAATAAACGCCAGATGTTTGAGAACCACAAGACGTGAACAGATACAACCCACGTGTTTTTATTGAAAAATATGCAGGCTTGCTTTTTATTAACATAAATCGAGACTGCCAAAAATAAAACCGAAAGGGGTAAAAATGGATATTGATATTTAACTTTAGATGGGGGGGTGAGAAAGAATGAAAGTAGAAAGAAAGCAAGCGGGGGGGGGAGAGGGGGAAAGAAAGCGACTTTAAGTTTAAATGCATCTTCCAAGACCCCCACGCTGACTGGCTTGGAGAAGGCATTTAAAGAGACAAATGCCTTTTCCAAGCAGGCTGGTGGGGAGGGTCTTTAATAAAGCATTTAAAGTTGCTTTCTTTCTCTGCTCTCCCCCCCATCTCAAGCCCGCTCAGGAACGGAAAACCGATCCTCCCTTTCGCTTCCTCAGTCACAGTTCGGCCACCCCTCCTCTAGACCTTGTGGCTATTAGCCACGGATGGACCTCTGCTCTGTTTCTCCAATTCCCCCTTGAATCCCTCTATGCTTGTAGCTGCCACCGCTTCTTGCGGCAGCGAATTCAACATGTGAATGACTCTTTGGGTTTAGAAGTTCTTCCAGGGGTGGGAGAGATGCCGGACAGCGAATTAAAATACCTCTGGAGATTAGTTTGTGCTCCGGCGTCCCCTTAGTGACGAAATGGAAGGTGCTACGAGAACCTTGCCCTGTAAGAGGAAAGTCCAGCTGGTCTGCTGGCACTTAACACTACACATTGCCGCTGTCTTCTAGCCCCTGAGTCTGCAGAACTTTGGGACCTGGGGTCAGAGCAGTGGCGCTGTGGATCTTTACGAAATTTCTTTTCGGAATGTATTCTTCGGACCAAACATGCCTTCCTGTAGGCAGCCATTAATTGATTAGGGTTCTCTAGCTGACAGGCGACCAGTTGACGTTTTATTTGTTCATTTATATTCCTCTTTTCTGTCCAGTGGGGGGGGGGGCATCATTCTCTTCTCTCCATTTTGTCATCACAACGACCCTGTGAGGAAGGTTAGGCTGAGGGTGTTTCCCAGCGAGCCTCTGACACTGTTGGGGATATGGACCTGGGTGTCCCCACTTCTTAGTCTGGCAGTTTAACCATTGCAACGCAGTGGCGGTCAAATTTCCATTTCACATTGGAGCACTTCAGCTTTGAACTAGGTAAAATGAAGACCTTAAAAGGGAGTGAAAGCAACAATTACATGGCTTACTGTACATGCAGAGTTCGTGTTGGAAGAGCTTGTGCTGAAGAAGTTTCCACCTTTAAAGTACTTTCTCTTGGGATATAGTTTCAGGGCTGCTCTGCAGGTGTAGTATATCTTGCACAACTAGTTGCAGGCCGATTCTTGGTGCCATAAACTGAGGCATATCAGGTATCGTTTTCCGTAGAAATCTCTCTGCCCTTCCAGGGAAAGGTGGAGTTCAGTTTATGCTTTATCTAGCACACAGCAGCCAAGTGCCGGACTGTGGGGTGGGTTCCAGTTTTCCTTGAAGCACTTATCTCCCACACATGTAATGTGGCGGGTGCATAGCTGAGATCTTGGGCTGTCTCACTCTCACTGCAATCATCTAACCACCCAACAGATGTCTAGCCAATGTATAGACTGTAGTTTATAGAGGCAGATATTGACTGTCTGGTGCACACAATTTCCAGGCCGCTGTTCATTCTTTGTAAGCATACATGGGCACCTGTGTTCCCTCTAAACTGAGTTAGTGTGAGCTAGCTCACAGTTTTTTAGCCTCCGGCTCACACATTTTTGTCTTCGCTCCAGAGCAGACTATGCAGTAGCCAAATTGCTCGCTCACAACTTTCATGCCAGTAGCTCACAAAGTAGAGTTTCTGCTCACGAGACTCCACAGCTTAGAGGGTGCATTGATGGGCACTGAGATTTATTCTGTAGTCTGCCTTTCCCACTGGGATTCAAGGTGGATTACACAGTGTAAATCAGCTGAAGAGACATAATAAGCAATGCAATAGGATTAGGATTTCAGAAATCTGAAAGAAATGTGACACGTTAAACAGTGCAGGAAATGGTATTACATTCAATGCAGTGAAAGCAAGACGAAATTACAGAACAGGTAATGCATATTAGGAGCATGGTCGGATGACCCACAGTCTCCTCTCCTCTCTTGAATTTTTTTCCTCCATCATTCTGTTATAATGCAGCCACATCTCCTTTGTAAAAAGCCCTTCTGAGCAAGTATGTTTTACGTAGTCTGCATATAATAGCTCGCAGTAATGGGCTTAAATTACAGGCAGACGCGTACTGGCTGGATATTAGGAAATATGTTATACCGTACAAGTGGTGCAGCAGTGGGATCGGCTGCCTGGGGAGGTGGTGAGCTCCCCCTCCCTGGCAGCTTTCAAGAAGAGGCTGGACGAATATTTGTCAGGGACGATCTAGGCTGATCCTGCATTGAGCAGGGGGTTGGACTCAATGGCCCTTCCAACTCTGATTCTCCAAGCAAACGTCTGCAGTGGGTTGACTGGCACTGGAAAGGAGCAGGGAGCCTTCGACACCCCAGATACCTGTCAGACAACTTCCCGTGTCCAATTTGAATTTGTCCGACAAATTCTTGCGCGCTTGGCAACTTAACGCCAGCACTCGCCCTGCTCCTGGCTTCTTAGTATGCTCAGCATAATTAAAACCCAGAACTGGGACGGGCTTTCGTGATGCCTTTGCCCGCTTGGAGAGCGGCCTGATCTTGTCAGAGCAGGGTCTGCCAAGGTTAGTACTTGGAGAGGAGACCCCCCCCCCCCCAAGAAAGGCGAGGGATTGTTACCAGTGCTCCCTCTAAGCTGTGGGGCCTCCTGAGCAAAAATTCTACTTTGTGAGCCACTGGCATTAAAGTTGTGGGCGAGGGATTTGGCCGCTGCGTAAAGTAGTTCGCTCTGGAGCCATCCCTTCCCGTGCCGAGACAAAAGATGTGTGAGCCGGAGGCTAAAAACCTGTGAGCGGGCTCGCACTAACTCAGCTTAGAGGGAACACTGACTGGGGTTACTGCCTGCTGTGAAAATTGGCTGGACTCTGGACAGTTTGGGGGGACGTTCAGGAGTAGGCCAACGCCTGGCCTTGTACCCTCGTCTCTTCACAAGAGGGCAGTTTCTCTTCTGTTACTACACTGAGGGCAAAGCAAAGAGCTGCCAAAGGAATGGAGGGGTTAACTTGTGCTTTCTGGAAGTGCTGCAGCTCTACAAACGACCTTCCCAATGTTGCCCCTGAATCACATAAGGACATGAGCAATGCTCCCTCTAAGCTGTGGAGTCTTGTGAGCAAAAATGTTAGTTTGTGAGCTACTGGCTTTAAAGTTGTGAGCGAGCGATTTGGCTCCTGCATCAATTAGTTTGCTCTGGAGCCCTCCTTCCTGAGCTGAGACAAAAATGGGTGAGCCGGAGGCTAAACAACTGTGAGCGAGCTCACGCTAACTCAGCTTAGAGGGAACACTGGACATAAGAGAAGAAGTAAAAGAGGTGGGATTTTATACCCCGCTTTTCTCTACCCGAAGGAGTCTCAAAGCAGCTTACAATCGCCTTCCCTTCCTCTCCCCACAACAGACACCCTGTGTGGTAGGTAGGGCTGAGAGAGCTCTTAGAGAACTGTGGCTGGCCCACAGTCACCCAGCTGGCTTCTTATGGAGGAGGAGTGGGGAGTCAAACCCGGTTCTCCAGATTAGAGTCCTCTGCTCTGAACCACTGCATCAAACTGGCTTCCCGTGTTGGATCCGGGCAGTGGGCCATCCCGTCCAACACTGTCACACACTAACCCAAAACCCAGGAGCTCCGCCAGCAGGGCCATAAATCCGGAAGCCCTCCCACTCTTGCCCGCCAAGCACCAAGAAGACAGAGCATCGCTGCCCCAGACAGAGCGTCTGTTGGGTATTACAAGTTGAAAACACTCAGTATATCTGGGGTTAAATGTTTGTTTATGTTACACACAGGAAGTCACATGTTTCTCATGTAACCAATGTTCTTTAGCTGTAGGAAGCCTGGGAATTTTCTCACTGACCTAGGGATTTCATTGGGACTAAAGTGTCAAAGTGTATTAACATTTTATGGCTTCCCTTCCTGTCTTTGTTTTGGTGTTCTGAAGAAGGAGAGCAGCCATAATCCACTCTTTCTAGTTTTGTCTTTGTAGTGTAAGTATGTAGCCGATTATGCTCTGTTATTTTCATCCCAGTTACCCTTCCCCATGCTAGAATTTAGTAAAAACTTTATATTTTAATCACACATGGACTCTCAGTCTGAATTATTTTACTCTGGCTCTGCTAGACTATTTTATCTCTGCTCAATATCTCACTATCACCCAACAGTGATAGTTGATATCTATACCTTGTGACTAATAGCCACTGATGAATCTCTGTTCCATATGTTGGTCCAGTCCCCTCTTGAAACTGTCTATGCTTCTAGCTCCTGTATCTGTATACTAGGGTAGAACACAAGTTTCTGAGTGCACATGTGCGAAAGCCTATCTACTTTGTATAAGTGTCTTATTCTAATGACTAGGTTAGATCCACCAGTTGGGTTGGTTGTAGCACAGAGATCCTGTGGAAATACACAGTGGCTTAGCCAAGTGCCTTAAGACTAAGAGGTTCTGACTGCCGATTGGTCCTGATTCAGCTTATAGAAGGGAACAAAATCTGTCTATTGTAATTTCCCAATGATGTGGGGTATTGAACTAGAAATTTTGAAGCTCGGAAAAAAACCCGTTTTTTTTCCCCCAGGAAAAAACCGGAAATGTTCGGGAAAATTGAAAAAAATGCTACATTAGCACTTATTTTTTCTTTTCCAGATTGAAAGTCATTCTGTTACTTTAGGAACATGAGATATGACTATGGACATTTTTACTTGGCATGAAATTATCACAACTAGCATATTAAAAATATAGTGTATCCAAACAATTATTACAAACAGAATACCCACCCACATGCAAAAACAAAACTGAAACCTTTTTCTCTTCTTGTGACAATAGCACCTCCTAAAGGAAGAAATGCATCTTGTTCTTGCATTGGAGAGTTCAGTTTGTAACCTAGGACTTGCTTGTCCTTAGTGCACAGAAATTAGATCAATCTGATACCATACCTATTTTTAAGAAATGTTTTGGAAAATATTTGAACACCTTGTCTTAAAATATTTTATTCATCATGTTAAAATAAAACATCCCATAATCAATTTTTTTCCTTTGCTTTTTTTTCAATTTTTCAGAAAAAAACAGGCGGGGGGCGATTTTTTTCCAAATTTTCCCAGTTTCTTTCCGGGCCTTCACATTTGTATATTGAACAAAAAAACCAGAACATAACAGTGGTTTACTTAAGCTGTGAGGACTCAGATCCTGAAACTTTTCCCTGTAACCGCTTTTGACTTACGTGCATTATACAACAAACCTTCTTCAGTCTTTCGAACTTAAGCACAGTTTTAATTGTACATCTCAACTGTCTCTTATGCAGGTCTTCCTGATAGTGGGGGAAATAACATACGTTGTCTACTATGCCGGTGAAACATTGGCCCGACTAATCTGTTCATTTTTTTTTTAACTTCTAGATTTCAATCACGGACCTGAAGAAGTCCCAACGATGGATCATGCTAGGAAAGCAATATATAATTTGGTAAGCAGGATGCATGCCAACTGTGTTGGTGTAAAACTGGGTGCAACATTTGCCTATGCGCTCTCTGAAATAAGCTCCCTTTTGCCTTTGTAAATGCACAGAACAAGTAGTACAGGCTGAACTTGTATTTGAATAATCAGATGGAAAGGGGGAACGCGAGTATTTTAAGCAAGACAAGATGAACTGATATTCCAGCTTAGACTTGGCCATTGTCTGAATTGCCTGTTTGTCTGTCTTGTGTCAAACTGAAGTGGTGAAAGAGTACTTACATGGGTGGTAGCTTAAGGGTGAAGTGGCTTTTCTAGTCCTTCCTTCCTCAGTGTGGTGTTCAATTTTTCTACCAGTCCACACTTCAGTCCTGACCACCTACAGAAACCAGCCTTAACTGTGTTTGGTTGCTTGTGTGTACATTGCTTCTTGTGTTACAGTAAATTTTATTTGCAAACAATGTCCTACAGAAGACAGCCTTAACTGTGTTTGGTTTACAGTGCTTCTTGTGTTACGATAAATTTTATTTGCAAGCAGTGTTCCCTCTAAGCTGAATTAGTGTGAGCTAGCTCACAGTTCTTTTAGCCTCCGGCTCACCCGTTTTTATCTTAGCTCAGGAAGGACGGCTCCAGTGCAAACTAATGTATGCCGTGGTCAAATCGCTCACTTGCAACTTTAATGCCAGCAGCTCACAAAGTAGAATTTTTGCTCACAAGCTTAGAGGGAGTGTTGTTTGCAAGGTAGGCGCCTTGAGGTGAGGGCTGACCTTATTTTGTATGGCGCATGTCCGTTGAGCCAGCATGGTGTTCCCAGACTAGAATTTGGGAGACCCAGGTTCGAATCCCCACTCCGCCTTGGAAACTTGCTCGGTGACCCGGGGCCAATTACACACATTTAGCCTAACCTGCCTCGTTGGCTTGTGGTGTAGATAAAATGGAGGGAAGAAGAAGAAGAGGAGATTGGATTTATACCCCGCCCTTTACTACCCAAGGGGGTCTCAGAGTGGCTTACAAACTCCTTTCCCTTCCCCTCCCCACAACAGACACCCTGTGATGTAGGTGGGGCTGAGAGAGCCCTGACAGCAACAGCTCTTTTTCAAGAACAGCTCTTATCAGAACTATGGCTTGCCCAAGGTCATCCAGCCAGGTGCAAGTGGAGGAGTAGGGAATCAAACCCGGTTCTCCCAGATTAGAGTCCGCGCACTTAACCACTACATAATGTAAGCTACTTGGGCTCCCCACTGGGGAAGAAGCCTGGAAGAAATGAAGTACACATATCAGCAAGTCTACAGCTCATGAAACAAAACTGGAACAGAGTGCACAAAGCTTGGTGTAGAGCCAGTTTGGCGTAGTGGTTAAGTGCGCGGACGCTAATCTGGGAGAACCGGGTTTGATTCCCCACTCCTCCACTCGCAGCTGCTGGATGACCTTGGGCAAGCCATAGTTCTGGCACAGCTGTCCTTGAAAAAGAG